GTAGAAGCTGCAGATATGAAGGACCATATGTAGTTACCCTGGGGGTTGCAGTTAACTTCTTTCACTTATAACACTTGATTTGAATTAATACCACCTCAATATACAAAACTGTGCTCCTGTTCGGCTCTGTATCTTCCCCTCTATGTTGTTGTTGTTATTACAAATTACAACTTTATACATTGTGTGTCCATTGACATGGATTTATAGTTAATTGTTTTATGCATTTGTCTTTTAAATAATACAAATAAAAAAAGAGGAGTTACAAGCCAAAAATACAATAATATTGGTTTTTGTATTTACTTATGTAGCTATCTGTACCTCTATTTTTTATTCATACAGCTTTGAGTCATTGTCAGATGTCCTTTTCTTTTCTGCCTGAAGGATTCTCTTTAGCATTTTTGTAGGGCAGGTCTTCTGATAATGAATTCCTTCAATTTTTGTTTATCTGAGAATGTCTCCATTTCTTGATCAGTTTTGAAGGATGGCTTTGCTGAATATAGAATCCTTGGTTGACAGGTTTTTTTTTTTGTCCACTGCCTTCTGGCCTAAGGGATTCTTGATGAAAAGTTAGCTGTTAATCTTATCTTTTTGAAACTCCTTTGTATGTTGAGTTGCTTCTCTCTTGCTGCTTTCAAGATTCTCTCTTTGTCATTGTCTTGACAGTCTGATCATATTGTGTCTCAGTTTGGTTCTCTGACTTTATCTTTCTTCAAGTTTATTGAGATTCTTGGATGTGTAGATTCATGTATTTTATCAAATTTAGGAAATTTTCAGACATTATTTCTTCTATTGTTTCTGCTCTTTCTCGTCTCTCCTTCTAAGACTCTCCCTCTGTATGTGTTGGTGTCTTTCATGGTGTCCTATAGGTCCTTTGGGCTCTGTTCATTTTTCCTACTGGCCAATTTCAACTGATCTGTTTTCATGTTTGCTCATTCTTCTGCCTACTCAAATCTGCCATTGAAACCCTCCAGTGAAATTTTCAGTTCAGGTATACTTTTCAGCTCAAGAACTTCTTTGTGTTTATTTTTTAAAATTTTTATTTCTGTGTTGATATTCTTATTTGCTGAGATGTTGTTCTCCTGGTTTCCTTCAGCTCTTTGTACATGATTTTCTTTACCTCTTTGAGCATATTTAAGACAGTTAGTTGACTTGAAGTCCTTCTCTAGTAAGTCCAGTGTGTATGTTTCCTCAGGGACAGTTTCTGTTAATTTCTCCTGTGAATATTGCCATGCTTTTTATCTCTTTGCATGCTTCATAATGTTTTATTGAAAACTGCACACTTTGAATATTATATGTTACTGTGAAAATCAGATTTTTTTCCCCTCCTCATAGTTTAGTTTTATAGTTTACTGTAGGTCGTAATTGTTTATTTAGTGATTTTTTTAAAACTATTTTTGTAGACTGTATCTGTTGTCATGTGTGTTTCTGAAGTCTGTTTTCTGTTTCTCGTGTTCTGCTAGTGTTTTGATATTTTCCTTGAATGCCTTTTTAAAGTTTCCTTTTTCTTAATTCAGTGTTTTCTCGATTTAAATTAAGCCTTTGGCTAATTCCCAGCAGTTCTGACAAAGTTAAATCTTTTGGTTTTTGCTAAACTTTTAGGTTTTTCTGTGGGGAAATAGGCCTTTGGAGTTACCTACTTTGCCATTTTTACTGACACCACTATTCTTAACATTTAAAAAATTTAAGTTAAATATTTTTAAAATTAAAAGTAACACTTGTACATTTAAAGCCTCAAGTAGTACTTCTAGGCTTATAATTAAAAAACGGTACTTCCTTGCCTCATTCTATCTAATTCTTATTTTCCCAAGGCCACCACTTCTAATTCTTTTAGCTTTTTCATCAGACATTTACCTCTATATTCCTAAAGAATGGGCCCTTCCTGCTATTTCTTGATTTTTTAAAAAAATTTCAAAATCACACACACACAGTATCAGTTCCTTTCCTCTTGTTTTCTTATATAGTTGTATCATGCTTTCTGGTTTGACCATTATTCATTGTTTCATTATTGTAACTGTGTACATATTCACATCTGTCATATATGCAATATTGTTACATTTTCATTCTTATACATTTATTTCTCTTAAGATAAGTGCTATATCTGCTTTGATTTTTCAATAACCATCACTAATTTATTCCAGAACTCTAATAGAACTGAAAATTGTTTTTCAGTATTGTATAGTTTTTATTGAGTTTTTGGAGGCCCTCATGAATCCTCTTCTGATCCACATTGGCATGACTGCCCTCCAACCCTTCATGCAGTTGAAGTCTTGTGTCTTCTATCCAGCTTTACTTTAGCTAGCTTCCTGGGTTGGATTTTCTGATTCTGGTATCTTATATCTTCTTATTTCTTGGTTGTCTTTTGTTTTTTTGGAGCATGTTCTCCAGTAGCTCTTTAAGAAAGTGTGTTTTGGATGTAAATTTTCAGATTTGTCATGTCCGTATGTCTTTATCCTAGTTATTCACAGTTGATTAATGCTTTGGCTGAGTATAGAATTCTAGATGAGAGTAATTTTCTTTCAGAAATTGAATGCATTGATTCATTGTCTTTTAGTTAAGAGTATTGCTTTTGGGAACCCCCGTTTACTCTGGTTCTGAATTTTTATTATATAATATTCCTCCACCCCTCCCATAAACCTTCAAACCTCTTAATAAAATCCCTCTAATCATCTACACTTCGTTTTTTCCCCCCCTTAATTTTCTGCCTATCTTTCTTGCTTTCTTCTCTTGCACAGAGTGTTTATTTCTAATTTATCTTCATACCAGTGATGCAGCCTTGTGGGGTCCCAGCTTTGACTCTGGTCTTCTGTGTTAGACTCTCCTCTTAGTATTGTCTCCTCAACTTTACTTGCTCTTTCCTTGTCCTGTACAGCAGATACTTTCAGTTCCCTTTCTCACTACCTCCTAAGATTCTCTTTTTAGTTCATATTTGTGCTCTTTGGATTCCTTGCCTTTTTGCCAACCCAATGATACATTTAAGATTATGCTTTAAAAATATTATATTATTCAGCTTTCGTTATTTCCTACAGGAGAGTCGTTCAGTATAATCCACCCTATTGCTGGGAGCAGAAGTCTTAGTTAACTCTCACCCACTCTAGTTTGACTCTCTACCCTACTGGCACTGCTCTTTTCTAGGTCCAAGGAACTTCCTGTTGTCAAGTGTCATGGATTTGTCTCTGTCTTTGTTTTACCTGATCTCTGAACAATGTTGGACATTGCTGACTCCTTTGAATCACTCTTATCTTGATTTCATGACATCATTCTTATTGTTATCTTCCTTATTACTAGGAATCTTCTTCATTTATCTAACCTCTACATGTTGAAGTCATTCATGGTGCTAGGTTCTGTTCTTTGTTGATACTTCCTTCTGTATGATCTTACATAGTTTCATGGCTTTCCGTACTATCTGTATGGCAGTTATTCTTAGGTTTGTATTTCTAGCTCTAAGAGTTACCCTGAATTTTGTTCTTATATATGTAATTGCCTCTTTAAAATCTCCATGTGGATGTCTAAGGCATCTCATATTTCACAAATGCAAAATGGAGCTCTTCCTTTCCATTCTACCAGCCTGTTTCTTCCCATGGAGTTCTCATCTTAGTAAACAACACCACCATCTCAATTACTTAAAAAAGAAACTTAAGAGCCATGTTGATTCCTTTCTTTTCCTCATTCCTGCATTAATTACTCACCAAGTCTTGTTGGCTCTTTGTCTAAAACAGCAGTTAGGAAACTTTTTCTGTAGAGGGCCAACTTGTAAATATTTTCAGCTTTTTGGGCCATATGGTTTCTCTTGCAACTATCAGTTTGCCATTGTATCAAGAAAATAGCCATAGCCATAGATAGTATGTAAATGATGGGCACCTTCAGATTGACTTGAGACTGGCTGGATTTGGCCTATGGGCCACAGATTACTGGTCTCTGGCTAAAAATATTTTATATCCATTCAGTGACCTCACAATTTGGGAGGGAGTAGTAGATGGTTTACTACTTTGAACAATGTATTTCTGAAGCATTGATGTTCCAGGAGGAGGAGCCCTTTGAGAGCACCAGTGAGGAAGAGCCTGATACCGAGGACCACCAGAGTCTAAGTTCTGTTGTTGATGTTGAGGACCTCGGCAAAATTATGAATCGTGTGAAGAAAGAAAAGGTACTGTAATTTTGGAAAATAGTGAACTTGAATCCTGCAGTTAACATCTAGCATTCTGTATTGGTGTGTAGTGCATCTGAGCTCATAATTAGACAGTTTTATTTCTTTGCCTCCTATCTTGAATTTTATACTTTTTTTTTTTGTTGCCATTTTTACATGAACTTTGTGAAAATCTTCCCCCTTGGTCCTGTGAAAACGAGATTGTAGTAGGATAGGCAGAAGATTTTAGGAAAAGAACAGAGGAAAGGCTAGGTAGTAGGATGGACTTCATTCATTGTTGTCACTGAAAATGACAGAATGAACAGCATGAAAAGATTGGTTAGTGTTGAGATTCCAAGAGGAACTGTCGTGTAGAGTTGCTTCCCTGTCATAGATATTGATTGGTATTCGGCTTCGGATGATGGCAGCTTGGTTTGTAGGTGTTGAGATCAGTATGGGTGGAGGCTCTCAGAATATAGGAAATATTAGTCTGGGTGCTCATTTTCTCAGTGACTAGATAAATGTGAGAAGGTACAGTGTAGTAAGATGATATGTAGATTCCAATGATCTAAAGTTGAAATAATATATACAGTTATATAAAAATACGAAGTCTCAATTTTTGTGTGAGTTTTGGGAAATGAGAATATCCTAAACTAAAAATGTATCAAGTACATAAGTCTTAGAAACAAAAAAAGTAAAACTGTGGAACAATCTAAGAAAATCAATGATAAAAACACAAACTCAAGTGAAGGATTCAGTAAAGTAGTGGGATATAGTAAGATAAAAAGTTAAAAAGCCTATGTATTTCCAAATAATAACCAGTTAAAAGCTATAGTGGAAGAGAAGACCTTATTTACAACAGCCACATAAAAGATAAATAGGTACATAGGAATACATTTAGGAAGAAATATCCTAAATCTATGTGAAGAAAACTTTAAAACATTTCTGAAAGACATAAAAGTACCTGGAACAAATGGAAAGACATCCTGTTTTTAGATATGGTGACTCAGTATTGCAAAAATGTCAGTTCTTTTAAGTTAATATATAAGTCTGATGCAGTTCATTAAAAATTCCAAGGAAATTTTTTTCTGGAGCTAGACTGGTTAATTCATGTGGAAAAATAAATATGCAAGAATGATTAGGAAGACCTTGGCAAAATAGTAATGAGAAAGACTAGCTCTATCAGATACTGAAACTTACTTCAAGGCACCTGTAATTAGAACTGGTACTGGCTCCTGATGAGATAGACAGACTTATATAACGGACTAAAATTCCAGGAATAGACCCAGGAATATATGGGAATTTCATATATGATAAAAGTGGTATCTCTTTTCCCCAGGGAGAAAATATACTTTTAAGATAAGTGATGTTGACAACTGGATGGCTACTTGTGAAAAGATAAAATTGTCTCTGCATTTTATACATGCATCAGAATAAACTCTAATTGGGTCAGAGATCTAAATGTTGAAAAAATATGTAAATAATAGAATTAGATGTATTATTTTATAACCTGGAGAATGGTTTTCTATATGATTCAAAATCTAGGACAATAAAAGATTGAATTTATCAATGATTTGCATGCCTGTAAGCAAAATCAAATGGTAAATGATAAAGTGAGGGAAAATATTTGCCCCTGATAAAGAAGGGGTTAATTTTTCTACTATGCAAAGCGCTCTCAAAAATCGAATAAAAAAGAAGATTGACCTAAAACCTAATAGAAACAAATGGCAAAACAAATGAATAGGCAAGTCTCAAAAAAAAAGCTCTACAAATAGACTTTAAACATGTGGAAAAAAATAAAAATTAAACCTACGTTGACATACATTTCTCACTTATCAAAATAGCAAAAATTCAAAAATTGGGCAACACACACAATTGGTGAGGCTCTGGGGAAATAGGCACTCACACCTTCGGATGGGAGTCCAGAATAGTATAAACCATACGATGGGGCTTTTGGTAGTCTACCAAATTCACACGCATTTACCTATGTTTCAGCAGGCTCAGTTATAATGAATTTGCCTTGAAGACAAAAAGTCACAAATACAGGATAGCATCTGCACAAGGTTATGCCTCACAGCATATATAGCAAACAATGGTCAGATATTGATTGAGAAAAACATGATAAATCAACATGATACAATATTGTGCAGCTGTGAAAAATAATAAGGTGTATACATATGCATTAATGTGAACTCCAGATGTTGGATTTGATTTGGAAGCTGATATGAACTTAAGATTTTTAAAAAATGTATATTGTCATGTTACATTTAGAAACTTATAATTTAACTGTATATGTGTATAAACAATATTTTGTAGCTGTGTTCATGGAAAGGACCTTTCATGTTCTGATATTAAAACCATTTCAATTCAATTGACCTGCAGTTCAGTTCAATTTGGACACTAACTACCTGCAGTTAGCGCCAGACTACACAAGTTTAGGGCATAGTCCTGCATAAGACTGTCCTCCACTTCAGATGGCAGCTGTAAGTCTTGGGAGCCACCTGGACTTCTGATCTACTGGTTATTAATTTGGGGATCTCATGACCCCCTCAGGTTCGATAATTTGGTAGAATTATGGCAGACTCAGAACTCACTGAAAGCATTATCATTATGATTACAGTTTTATTATAAAGGATACAAATTAGAAACAACCAAGTTGAAAAAACAGGGCAAATTTTGGGAGTAGAAGGGTGGAGAAGAGATCTAGAATTTCTGTGTTCTCTCTTCATGGAATCTGAGTCCCCTCACCACATCAGTGTATTTACTACCAGGAAGGTTTACTGAGCATTAGCATCCAGATTTTTTTATTGGGGTCGCATTATATATGCATGATTGATTAGATCATTGGCCACATGATTGAACTCAATCTCCAGCCATCCTCCCTTCCCTGGAGATTCAGCTGGCCTAAGTTGGTTTTCTGGTAACTACCCCTAACCTAAAGTATCTAGGGACCCACTGTATGAATCACCATATTAGCATAACAAAGACACTTGTGTCATTTGGAAATCCCAAGGTTGTTTTGGAGTTCTGTGCTAGGAAGGGGCAGGACATTTGAGGATATTTGAAATGGATATTTTGTTAGATATTAGATTTAAAAATTTTTTCTTCATTGCAATAATATAGTTCTGTAGGATAAGGTTCTTTTTTAGGAGATGAATTCTGCAGTATTTTAAGGATGAAGCACCATGATGTTTACAACACTTTCAAGTGGTTCAGCAAATTTTTATTCACACACACATGTATTATGTATGTATATGTATGTGTGTGCATGGATGGATGGATAGATAATGATTAAGTAAAAGTAGTGAATCTTAGTGAAAGCAATATGGGTCTTCATTGTACCTTTCAACTTTTCTGAGGGTTTGAAATAAAAAGTATGAGGGGAGCTACTAAAACAAAACAAAACCTAGTATCAACTGAATTATAAGCTATTTATGATAATGCCATTTGAGAATATCCCCCATTTTTTGATAGTACTAGTTGGTGAATGACTAGTTTTGAACTATATAAAGTCTTAAGAATATATTCCTTGCATAAAACGTGAGGACCCTCTAATTTTATTGTAGTGGCCCCTCCTATAACAAATGATACTTTAAGGAAATAAATATAACATTTATTTGCCTAATTAAATTTTTTTCACTATAAATAAACATATCTGTAATAATGAAAATTCAGAAAATAGTTGAAGAGTAAAACACTACCAGTAATTCTTCCCAGAAAAATCACTATTAGTATCTGGAATATTTATTTAAATTTTGTTTATATACACCCAAATGTCCATTTTATTATAAAAATATTTGTCATTCTCAGATAGTCTTTATAATCTCATTTAACAATCTTACAGAAAAATCTTTTTAAAGTAATAAATACCGATACAGGCTGTGTTACAAGAGATTACTTTTGGGAAGTTATCATTAAAAGCTGCTTTATTTTGAGTTTTACTGTCCCTATCAACCTGCACAGGAAGGAGTACCTTTTTTCTGTCTTGGGATGAAAACTGCAGACTCTGTGACACTTCTAATCATTTTTGTTAATGTAGTATTGTAGACACTTTAAAGCACAGAGTCTTATTTTGGCAGTGGAATGTGTAGTCCTGTATAATACTAAGTAATACTAAATAAACTATATCAAAGTTTCCAATTTAATTCAAAGGTGTAACTTCTTCCTAATTTATTGTCTAATTTCAGTGCTATTTGCTAGGTTCTATTTTGGATCACCGTAGGATTTGGGTAGTGGTTGGGAGGTGTGCAGGAGAGGTTAGAAGTGGGAAAGTTTATAGTTGGCACTGTCATAGTATGACTTTGTGCTCTTTTTGGTTTTTAAAATTGACTCTTCCAGGCAGCATTTTCATTGCTTCTTTGGAGACATTGTTCATGGCTGTCATCTTATCTGGTCCCTTGCACTGAGCAAGTGTAATGGCTGTCATCTTATTTTGTCCCTTGCAATGAGCAAGTGTACTCTGAGAAGTGTTCTTCTGGTGGTCACTCCTTCTGAGCTGTGTCTCTGGCTTCCTCCCTTTTGAGGTCTGTCATCTGTTCTTCTCTCTGGTTGCCCATTGATCAGGATCTAAGATCTCCCCGACCCCAGTCCAGCTCCCAAGGGAACACTCCTGAGTTCTTTATTCCAGGAGGACACACTGATTCCTACCCAGCAGCAGTGCTTATTTGCTGACTCAACTAGTCAGTCTTTTTGCTTTCTGGATTTTGTGGGCAGGAAATTCACCAATCTGTGACACCCTCTGAGCGCAGGGGAGACATAGTAGCTTCTATGAGGGGCCCCATTGGAGCCTCTCACCTGAGGCTTGAGGTAAGAGGCGGGAACCTACCCTTACAACCTCTCTCCATTTGAGGCAGAGTGGGTAACTCAAAATACCTCACCAACATTCCCCTAAGAAAACTTCAAGAATCTGCTCATTATCTTTATACTCTCTACCCTTTCATATCCTTAATGTGTGGAGGTATTTCTAAGGTTACTAAATCAATTCTCAGATACTTTCTTTGAAAATTTATAACTTGATCTGG